CAATAGATATGATGTGATGACCACAAATATCGCCGAGTCACGCAATGCTATGTTGATAGACGAAAGGGAGTATCCCATGGCATCAATATTTAATTCGATTGTTAAGAGGTTTGGAGACTTGTTCAGGGAGAGGCATGCATATATCCTTTAATCAATGGGTAATCAAATGGTGCCTTCTGCCGAAAAAATTGCAAGAAAAGGAATGATCGAGGGCGACTCCTTATATGTGGAGAACGTAACCGGGGATGACAATCAATTTACCGTGTTCGGTGCAGGTGTTACTGCCCATGTGGACCTAAGGGAAAAATCATGTTCTTGTAGAGAATATGACTTGATCAAGATACATTGTGTTCACGCGATGGCCGCTTTGCGTTCGAAGCACGGCAATGAGTATGGTATGAGCATTTATGAGTACTCTTCGCCTTTGTTTAAAGTTGAATCATACCTCCTTGCATACTTAGATTCTATTAATATTGTCGCTCTCGAGTCGGAATGGTGTGTGCCAGAAGAATTGCTTAATGTAAAGATTCTTTCACCTCTTGTTGATACCAAGCTTGGAAGAAAACAAACAAAACGTGTCAAAGGTGTCATGTGAATTTCAAAAGCAAGAGAAGGAACAAATGTTCAATTTGCAAGATAACCGGACACAAGAGAACCACATGTGTGAACAACAACAAATCTTAATTAAGCTTGGTTGAATTTGTTGATTGAATTTATTTTTGTAACCGTTTTTGTAATCAAACTACTGTTTTTTTGGTGGCCAGCATTTTGGTCAATTTATTGTCAGCTATTATCGTAATTACTCATGATGTCATATAGATCAATCAAAAGATGACATACATTTTATACACTGTCTATTAATATTTATTATCGAGTCCACTCATTGTGTATTAAGCTATGAAAATTATTAATATATGAAAATTCATGGTATTCATAATGCAATGATTCTAATGCATTAATTAGAATATGATTAAAGAAGGAAGTGCTCTAAAAAACTCAAATTATTTTTTACTAAAATTGTGACTATTTTTAATGCACCAAATCAAACAATGCTTAAGAAATCTAAGTATAACTAATCCAACTTTAACAAATACAAGCATTATTTGCATGTTCACTCTACCAAATGAATCCTTAAAGAATTGTCAAAAAATCAGATGTTACCATTGAAAAAAGTAGCAATTTGAACTTTTTTTACCATTGTAAAATTTGAATATCTAATTATTTACTGGTTATCAAAATATATAGACCCTTTATACAATCGATACATCTCTATGTGCGTGGTGTATGTATGACCAATGAGATTTACACTCTGACATTAGTAAGGTATATTCGGGTTTATACTATGCTAAAGCATTGTCGATACTTCACTTACTAGAATCTGACACTTATATATAGACCAAAACTAGTAGGATTTTAAAAAGACAACAATTAATTAATAATAAATTATATATTTGAAATTTATCCAATTAAATAAGTTTAAACAAGTCATATGATCATGTAAGAGTCCACATAAATTGGGTGTGGTGATTAGTGATGTACAAGGAAGAGTTGTGGTTATACAATCAACATTCTTAGAACAATGTTTGAGAAAACATAAGTATGTTGTGAGGATGTCACTTGTTCAACCACACATTGTTGATTGCCACCAATTTATGTGGACTCATACATGATCACATGCTTATGTTGTAAAGATGTTGATTATGTAACCACACATAATTATTCCTTATTCATACTTGTGCTTTCTTCACACATTAGTTTGAAGATGTTGATTGTATAACTACAATTATTTCTCATACATCATTTATCTCCACCCCCAATGTATGTGGACCCTTACATGACTTGTTTAAACTTATTTAATTGAATAAATTTCAATAATATTATTTATTATTAGTTAATCATTCTCCCTTTTAAATTATACTAGCTACGATCTATATTTAAGCGTCATATTCAAGTACGTGCAGTATAGATCATTTTTGGATCATGATATCAACCCATATACACCTTATTAGTGTTGAAGTGTAGATGGCGTTGGTACAATCTAAACCAAGCACATGAAAAAGTATCGACTGTCTAAACTATCTATATATTTTGACCAACAGTGACAATACTCAATTATCCAAGTTTTATAACAGTAACAAAGTACGAATTGGTACTTTTCAACGGTAACAATTGCTTTTTTTTAGTGTATATAAAGAAGGATTCGTAAACTCTTCCATCCTATTCTATTTTAAAATACTTGAACATCTCTTTTTATTATGTCTCAAGCATCTCAAACATCCAATACAAAAAAGTCTTACGTTTGTCATTGTGGTAATTTAGCTATGTTGAGGACGTCACATGCCGATACGAACCCATGTCGACAATTCTTTAACTGTGCAATTGGTGCATGCTCTTTTTGTAAGTGGCTTGAAAATGATTCATCAACGAGCAACCCATCAAAATTGAGTCCAGGACTCAAGACATCAAATTTTCAAGGCGTTACCAAATTTCAAATATTAGAAAGGCTTCGAAACTCTGAAGAAAATAGGGATTTGCTATTGAGTTTATTCAAAGAGCAGAGGGATCACTTTAAAGGATTGCTAAAAGACACTGAAATATATAGGGATCAACTAAAACAAAAGTTGATATTGGGTGAAGAAAAAGAGAAAGGCCTAAAAATAATATTGTATGGTTTTTTGTTAGTGGTTGATTTTTGGAAATGTGTATCAAGGATGCAGTTATATCTTTTACTCATGTAGTAGTACAATCTATTAATAAATGAAGTCTTTTTGAAATTGTAAGACAATGCATTATATATACAATTTAAAGTCGATAACTGGCAACAATATCAATCAAAACAAAAATAACATTTACATGATCCAACTATCTTATCAATTCAACCACCAAAAACACGCGGTTATCCTACGACTTGACAAAAATATTTTGAACTATTTTTTAGGAAAATAATTATAAAAATAATTTACAATGTTCGATTAACTTTGGAAAAATAGTTAAACAAAGAATAATTATTATTTTTTAAGAAAAGGGGACCTTGATAGAAACATTTGACTTGAATTACAAGTGATAAGAATTTTAACAAAACTAGATTAATTAAAAATTATTTGTATTATTTCAAAGATAATAACTTAAACCAATTGAATTAATTAGAGAGAGTATCTTTTTAAATTAAATAAAGACAAGTGAAAGTTTTGACTAAAATATTTTAGTGTGTAAAGAATGCAAAAGTTGATAAAATGAAATTTGTTAAAACAAAACACAAAGAAATAGTTCATCTTTTGGGGAATTCGATTAAGTTAATTAACAATTCTAAAGTTAGAGTTAATAAACAACAAACAATAAATAATCACAATTAAATAATTTAAGAGTAAGAGAGATTGAATTTGGGCCTTTCTTGGGCCAAATTCGCTACTACTTTTAGGGTTTAACCCAATTTTCGTTTTTGTATACACCTGATGTATATCAGTGTATACGAGCTCTTTCCACCTATATTTTTATTTCCATTTCGCTCATTTCAGCTTCCCTTACATCATATATCAGCTACCATTTCACTTTTCTTCATCCCCAGAGCAAACCCGAAAAAAGGAACATGTTGGGCCTCTACGACCCAAGATGAGAATGCAAGTAGAAAGAGTTCACAAAGAACTTGGAGGCAAGTCACGAGCAAACATAAGAAAAGTATTTGAGTTAGAGAAGAAAGGAAAAAATAAATAAATTAATAACACTGTAGCATTTTTTAATTTAAACATTTCATTGTAGCAAATTAGGCACCAAACAGGAGAAAAAGTTTGGGAGGGTTAATGTGTAGTGATGCACATTTAAATATTCAACAATCTAACAACCCTTTACTCAACTAGTGAAATCTAAACATTTCAAGAAAGAAAAACAAAAGAATGATTATAGAGATTTACCACCAATGAAACAACACTAAATCAATGGACTATGAAAATTCCAAGTAATAAGCCAAACTTCCAACAAAGAAGAAAGCTCACATATTAAATCTCATCAAGCAATATACAGTGAAATACTTAAACTAAACGGAATAAAGAGAAACCAAAATTTAAGCTAATGAGGAAGGATCTAAGCTACTAATATGCATTAAAGCAAAACTAAAAAAAATAAAAGAGTAACAGGAGATCTAATTTACTACATAATGTCAAACCTAAAAAGTCCTAAGTATCCTTTGTTCATTTAACTGAGACTAAATAAATAATAATAAAACAAGATGGAAATAGCTGAGGTGAAATATTAACATATACTAAATATATTAATTCAAGTCATCGATATATAAAGAAATCACTCGAGTTCAAAGATTTATAGAGAGATACTATCACAAACATTCAAATATCATATTAGAATAGAAATTTAGTATTACAAAACTGAAATCGACATAGAGGTATGCAACATTTAAAACAGAAAAATCAGGATGGCTGATCAAATATACGAAACACCTATCAATAAGAAATCGAAATACTTGAGACCTTAATATGCTTGAAAGCTAATTGCAGTAGTAAAATATTTTAAGAAAAATAGAACATGAAGGAATTAATCAACACCAAAGCATAGAGAAATAGACATTCACAAAAGATTTAGACATTCTTCATAACTAACAAAAATAAATAGGAGGAAAATCTTACCGTTTTGAGGGCAGCGAATAGAAGCAAGAACGAGCTAGCAATGACGAACTTCCACCACACGAGAGATTCCGGTAGAAAATCGACTTCCAAACCGGAAGATCCAAAACTTTTAGCTATCACCATAAATCCCACACTCTTTTACCTATCGATTCTCTATATTTAAGCTTTTTCTTATTCTTTTTTATCACTACCCCCCTCTCCGTTTGAATGTGTATCTCTATCATATCTTCTTCCCCGCCCCAACACTAAAGAAAATGGAGGTTTATATAGAGGGAATTTGGGGTCAATTTAGGGAGGAAATTGGTGAAATTTCAAAGAAAATTTGAATTTTTCTTTTGCTCCTTTTCGAAGCCATAGTGAAAGGAGATGGGAAGCTCTAAAAAGGGGAAAAAGAGAGGTGGGCGCTGCGCTGCAGGTGTACGAGCGTACTATTGCGCCGTGCTTTTCCGGGTTTGCCAGATCGATGCATCTTTTCGCTGGTTTTCGCAGCAAGCTGAGGAAGAAGACGTATAGGGGTCTGGTCAGTCGCATGCTTGCCGTACGATGGGTGTATTGTACACTGGGTATTGTTGACGTATGCTGGGGGGCTGGGAATTATTTGGTGGGCTCAAGAAATAGGGTCGACTGATTGTTTCGGCCCAAATTGATTTAACAAAGTGGGTTTAGAGTGGTTATAATTAAAATAAATGGGTTAGGTTTTGAGTTGAGAATTTGGCCCAATAGGTTGAAATTATAGCCAATTGGATTTAAGAAGTTAACCAAATTGAGTTGATTTGCGAATTCGGCTAAAAATAGAATGAATTAATATAATTAATTTACGAGCTTTTTAATCTTAACAAAACAAAAATAATTAACTTAATTATAAACCAAATGACTTAAAATTATAACTATAATTTAAACTAAACTAATTTAATAGAAACAATTACCCAATCACCTGAGGTATGTATTTTTGGGCACTAACAACACTTTGCCTGTGATCTTGGGTGCAGATTTGAATGATAAACATGTTCAAGTTGTGATCAAAGTGTTGATAAGGTATAAAAGGGCAATTGGGTGGACTATTGCTGACATCATCGAGATACCTCCAAGCATATGCACTCATAAGATCCAACATGAGGAGGACTGCAGCCCAATCATTGAACACCAGAGGAGGATAAATCTACCAATGCAAGAGGCGGTCAAAAAAGAGATCATCAAGTGGTTAGATGTTGGGGTTGTGTAACCCATTTCTGACAGTCATTGGGTCAGCCCAGTGCAATGTATGCCCAAAAAGGGTGGTATGACAGTGGTTGCAAATGGAAAGAATGAATTGATCCCGTAGAGACCAGTCATTGGATGGAGAGTGTGCATAGACTACAAAAAACTGAACAAGTGGACCTTGAAGGATCACTTCCTAATGCCATTCATGCACCAGATGCTTAATAGGTTGGCTGGAAAAAGGTGGTACTATTTAGATGAATACTCTGGCTACAACCAGATATCAATTGCTCCTGAAGATCAGGAAAAGACTACTTTTACATGTCCTTATGGCACCTTTGAATTTAAACGCATGCCATTTGGACTATGTAATGAACCAACAACTTTTCAGAGGTGTATGATGTCTATCTTCTCGGACATGGTGGAGGACACTCTTGAGGTATTCATAGATGACTTTTCAGTGGTAGGTGATACTTTTGATGACTATTTGTTCAATCTTAGCAGGGCTTTACAGAGATGCGAGAAGGCCAATCTAGTGTTGAACTAGGAGAAATGCCATTTCATGGTCAAGGAAGGTATAGTCCTTGGTCACAAGGTGTCGCAAAAGGGATTGGAGGTTGACAAAGCCAAAATTGAGGTGATTGAAAAGTTGCCTCCACCTATTTGTGTGAAGGGTGTTCGAAGCTTTTTAGGACATGCTCGATTTTATAGGCGTTTCATCAAGGACTTCTCAAAAATTGCACATCCCTTGTGCAAGCTTTTGGAGAAGGATGTGAAATTTGCTTTTGATGAAGCATGCCTAAAAGCCTTTGAATGCCTGAAGGAGAAGCTGATTTCTGCACCAGTGATTATTGGCTCAGATTGGGTTGAACAATTTGAGATAATGTGTGATGCTAGCGGTACTGCCTTAGGGGTTGTGTTGGGGTAAAAGTGCAACAAGATGTTCCATCTAATCTACTATGCTAGCTAGTCACGCAATAGAGCACATCGAAACTACACAGTCACTTAACCGAAACTACTGGTTGTGGTTTATGCCTTCGAGAAATTTAGGGCTTACTTGTTGGGTACTAGGGTGATAGTCCACATGGATCATACAGCTCTAAGATACCTCATGGAAAATAAAGATGCCAAGACAAGGTTAATTATATGGTTGTTGCTGCTTCAGGAGTTTGATTTTGAGGTTAAGGATATGAGAAGTTGTGAAAACCTGGTGGTTGATCATCTGTCTAGGTTGGATGATGAAAAGAGAGAGGAACTTGAGCTAGAAATCAATGATTCGTTCCCGGATGAGTAGGTATTAGATGTAACTCTTGATTTTATTCCTTGGTTTGTTGATTTTGCTTTCTTGTTAGTGACTAGATACCTGAGGGGCTGACATTTCAGCAAAGGAAGAGGTTCATGCATGATGTGGGTAAGTATTTTTGGGATGAACCCTATTTTTACAATGCGTGTTTTGATAATATCATCATGTGATGCATCATTGAAGCTGAGATGTTGCATATTCTAGAGGTATGTTACTCCTCTCCAGTGGGTGGCCATCATGGAGGCGCTCGGACAGCCCACAAGGTACTTCAGATGGGTACTACTGGCCTATAATTCATCGGGATGCAATGGATATAGTAAGGAGTTGTGATGTGTGCTAGCGGCATCCATCACTCGGCGTCACGAGCTACCCATGACACCTATTTTGAAGGTGGAGCTATTTGATGTGTGGGGATTTGATTTCATAGGCCTATTTGTGAGCTCCTATGGGCAGAAGTATATATTGGTGGCAGTGGACTATGTGTCCAACTGAGTTGAGGCAGTTGCTCTTCCTAAGAATGATGTCAAAAGTGTTGTTGGCTTTCTGAGGAAGAATATCTTCTCAAGGTTTGGCACACCCAGAGCTATTATCAGTGATGAAGGTTCCCATTTTTGCAATAAGGTTTTCAGTGCTCTTCTGGCCAAATATGGGGTTAAACAACACAAGGTGGCAACACCTTATCACCCGCAGACCAGTGGCCAAGTGGAGGTATCCAATAGGGAAATAAAGGTGATTCTGGCAAAAATAGTAAATGCCAAAAGGATAGATTGGGCACGAAAGTTAGATGATGCTCTATGGGCATATCAGACAGCTTTATATACGCCAATTGGTATGTCTCCATATCAATTAGTGTTTGGAAAGGCATGTCATTTGCCGGTTGAGCTTGAGCATAAGGCACTCGAGGCTTTGAAGAAGCTGAATCTTAGTTGGAGTGAAACGACAAACCTGAGACCGGATCAGATCAATGAGATGGATGAGTTCTGCTTGAGAGCGTATGAGAGGTATGCACTGTACAAGGAGAGGATGAAGTTGTATCATTATAATCATATTGAGAAAATAACCTTCACTCTTGATGACTTGGTGTTGCTTTTCAACTCCAGACTTCGTCTGTTTCCGGGAAAGTTGAGATCCAAATGGTCTGAACTTTTTAAGGTAACTCGGGTGTTCAGTCGAGAGCTATTGAGCTTGATAATGACAAGGGTGAGAGGTTCAAGGAAAATGGTCAGCGAATCAAGGCATACTTAGGTGTTCCTGAAGATGTAAAAATAGTGGAGGAATGTAAGCTTGATGAATTCTGAGTAATCAAGTAACCTGCGTTGCACCGCGATGTTAAATTATCCACTGCTTGGGAGGCAACCCAAGATTGTAATTGTAATAGGTAGTTTAATTTTTCTCATTTTTCTTTGTTTTTATAGAGTCACTGTGTGTTGATGTGTGCAGGAAGGATTTGGACAAAGAAGTGTAGAACTGGGTGAAGACAGATCATCACGAGCAGTCTCACGGGCCGTAGTCCTTTTCACGGGAAACTTCACGGCCCATCATTCTCAATAGCAACATAAGGAGGCTACTGGAAACTGCCATAAATTGGTACACGAAAGGGTTTACGGTCCGTTAGGTTTTGTACGGACCGTCTAGCCTCTCGTGAACCTCAGGTAAGTTTACCTTGTCTAAGTCATGTTCATGGACATTTCTATGGACTGTGATGCCCTTCACGGGCAACTTCACGGTCCGTCGTCTGCAACCCAGCAACACGAGTTACCCGACCTAACCCACGCTGGAACCAAAGTTGAAATAAACGTATATTTACTTCCTAAAGCGCCAAAGGTTGGCTTTTTCTTCCCATTCTTTCTACCATAACGGTTAGCAAATGCATGAAAAGGTTTTGCACCACCCATAAGTTCTAATTTCATCAAAGAATTCGAAACCCTAGTTCTTAGGATCAAGATATCGAAGTCAAGTTCATCTTCTCTCTTTTTGGGAAAAAATTTGGGTCTAAATTGAAGTAAGTTCTTATATAACTTGTTATAAGTTCAATCTTATCTAAAGACAAGTTAGATTTACTTTGATTTAGTCAAACTTGCCCTGATTATGTGATGAATTAGCATTGATTGATACTAGATTGTTGTGGGTTTGTTTAAATTGGTAGTTGTCGTATGTGGGTTTGTTAAAATTGCATAGAACTAGTTGTTGATGTATGGGTATGATGGATTCTTGAGTTATTAGTGTTACATTGTGTTGGAGTCTGTGTGTTTGAGTCTGAAATTTTACTGCTAGGATCTGTAGATGACATCTTAGGTACTTATATGTTGAACATTGTTAGTCTGATGAATAAATTGGTGAACTAATAAACTGGAAAATGTAAGCATGCGTCATGTGTGTGTGAGGTTTGCTTGAAGTTTAACGCTAGGAGTAAAAACTAGAACTTGCCCGAGTAGTCTTGCTTAAATCTGAGAATAACTGGATATAAAAGGATCAGTAGGCCATTTTTTCTAAGCTATTAAAAAGCAAAAAATAAAACAACCAAATAAAAAGCTTATCACTTAAACCCGATTTGAGCCTGAAAACCAATTTTGTTCTTACCCATTAAATATCATATCCTTGGGTCTCCGAAGATACGATGTCACAACTCAGGCCAAAGGCCTAAGTTGAGGGTGATTACAATCCGAGCAGGAAGGAAAAGTGAAAAAGAAGGTTCAACCAGTTAGCTGAAAGCACAAAATGTGCAATAAAAAAAAGAAAAAGAAAATAATGGCTGATGGGATGTACTGAAATGAAGAAAAAGAGGGAATTGCTCATAAAGAGTTGTGTGCAAACGAAAATTTGGAGAACCAAGGGACTAGTCACTCACAAACCCAAATGCCCATTCCCTAGCCTGAGCATATGTTACAAGCCGATAAAGTCCTACAGTGATCCTATTTCGGTTGTTTGAAAGATAAAGCATAGAAAGCAAGAGCAAACCTATAGTCTTTTGTTTTTAGTGTTAGAAGTTCTTAGAGAGTGTGAGCGTAGAACTTAGTCTCAATTATCATGAGTGAGGGACTTCTTTGGTGTGAGGACACAGTGATTGTATTTGATAGTTAGATTGTGTTAGCTGATAGTACACAGGCATAAGCATGGTCGACTGTGAGTAATGGGATGTCATATATTGATCTTTGCATGTTAGATTGATGGTTTTGGATACAAATTGTGTTTGAGATGGTTGCTGCATAGTTTCAAAAGTGTTTGAATGTTTGAGGACTAAATGTATTGTTTTTCTCATCACTTGTGGAGAAGTAATGGTTTAAAGTTGAGGGTGTTGATGTGTCGCGAAATATTGGCACATTTGATGCTTAAAACTAAGGATTAATACTAGAATCGAGTGTATTTTTATAAGCTTTGATGTGTTTGTTGAATGTGTAGACAAATTCTCAACTTTGTGGAAAAATAGAAAAAGAAGCAGAAGATGACTGTGATCAAGTGAAAACCACGAGCACCTAAACGGGTCGTGGTCCTTGTCACAAACCGTGGTGCAAATCGTGATGAATTTCCAATGTGAAAGGCTTGGAGGAGCCTAAATACAACTTGGCCAAGTAATCACGAACACTGAGACGAACTGTGGTCCTCACAACGATCTGTGGTAGTGCTCGTGAAGATGATCTAGTGAATGGGTATCAAAAAGCTAAAAATGGAATTTGTTCTAAGTGAAGACCACGAACACTTATACGGACTGTGGTAACTGTCACGAGTCGTGGTAGCGTCCGTGATGACGATCCAGTGTGCAAACCTTGAAGAACCTATTTTGGATGAGTGCAAGTGAAGACTACGAAGTGCTTCACGGACCGTGAAGCCCTTGACGAACCGTGGTGGCACCCGTGAAGATGCGTGACATATCAGTCCTACTTCGAGTAGGACTCTTTTTCAACACTTTATTTAAATTAATTAGGTTATTTTTACTTTATTATCTCTTCATATCTGGAACGAGTGACTAAGTTTCAAATATTCTTAGTTTTGGTTTTGGACGATTAACATTGAATCAAGTTTCTAAGTTGGATTTTTTGTTTTGAATTATCAAGTGCTTATCGATTTTGCATTTTTTCGTAAGTACTTTCTTATCATGTTTTCAGTTTATAATTCTGTATTTTTTCACGAAATCATGAGTGGCTAAATACCACGATTAGGATTGTGGATCTATGATGTAAATCTAAGTGTAATCTCATAAGACGAGTGGAAGGCGATTTATATTTGCAAATCATAATTTAGCTTTC